GCAGCTTCTCGCAGAAGGCCCCCGTATAGCCCCCCGGCTACCTAAACCTTGCCACACAAACCCATACCATTAGCTCTAAAAGTTCCGATTGTTGAGTGTTTTGAAGGTGTGTGAGTGCGACCAAGTCTTTCTTGCTTTGCAGAGCCTTGTGAAGTTGTGACTGGTGTGCTTCTGTGGTGGGTTTCCTGCCTGGTTCTCAGAGCGGGATATACTCAGAGGAGGAGAGGATTTTCTTCTTGGTTTACGTCAAGTGACTGCTTGGCATGGCTTTGACTTTTGCTGTTGTTTTTCTGTTGGGAAATATGACCCACATTAAGTGTATTTTGCTTAATATGCCAAGGACCTGTGATTTCAGGAGTCTTTTCTACGTGGTTTTTCAACTTAAAGAGAAAAATACAGTAGTTTTTTCCTTTCATTATAAGGAAGCTAGTCAGTTCTTCTACCTTGGAGTGAGCAGTGGTAGCTGTTAAGCAAAGCAGGTTTTTCTGTATTAATTCAGCCATTGCAATCATATGAATGCACTGGAGGATAAACTGCAATTAAATTTGCTATCAGTCACACCCATCAGGTGTGCTTAATGTTTCATCAGATTTTTTTCCTGTCAGTCCTATAATTCAGTGTTCTTCTTTGTTTGAAGGTGTGGCTGAAAGAAACATAAAAGACTGTAAACTGAAGTATAGAAATGCTTGTTTGTTTAAAAATATTTTTAAACTGTAGGGACAGATTGGAAGTTTCCTCCTTTTCCCCTTGCCAAATTACATTTTCAGGCAGTATCTAAAGGCACAAAGTCCTTTTTTTTATATATTCTTTTTTTTGTAAGTGTCGGAGAAGATTTATGTGCAAGAGAATTGAGAGCTGTATTAAAGACTGTGTAACTATCCATCATTTTTAAAGTGGTGTGAAGAAAAATAACACTGTGTGTATGTGTGGCTGGATTTGCAAAATTGTTAAAGGAGCCAAATTGAAGTGTAGTGCATAATGCCAAGGATGGCTATTTGGAATTACTTCCCCCCTTCTTCTTGGGTCATCGGTCAGTAGTGAGCAAGGATCTGTCGCGGTCTGACAGGTGTTCACTGGCTTATGTTAATAAAGATTTATTGGTATTTTTGTCAGTAGTTTCAGATGCTCATCTGTAGCTAAAAGTAAGGCTTTCTTCCACCTTCTATCCCAAGAAAGTTCTTGCAAATTTTAACAAAGCCGAAGTGGAACAGGGTGAGGTTTGTGATCCCATCCCATGGAATCTTTCACTCTCTGGTCTGTTCTGATTTATGGTGCTTTTTGTCCCCTGTGTAATAAAGGTAGGCACTTCCCACTTTGCCCTCTCACATCAATCTTTTTTCTCTGTTCATCCTGCTTTCTGGTGGGATCATTGCCAATAGTCGCGCTTGCTTTTGGTCAGAGGAAAAAGGAGTGTGGGGATAATTTCTTATGTCTAGGGAGGTTTGGGCTGCTCTCAGATCGTACGTGCACGCTTCCCCGTGACAGATGGACATAAACCAAATAGCTTGTCGTGCTGTAGAGGCTCAAGAATACCTGTCAGAAACTGAACATCACCAGAGGTGGACAGAGCTCCAGAAAGATTGTCTGGTGTTGAGCAATCAATGAGAGACTTGAATGAAGCACTGTCTGTTGCTTAATATTACAAATAGTTGAATTGAGAGGGGATAGGAGAAACGAACAGTTCCCACTGCTGTGGGTTGTTGCAGCGACAAGACAAGGTAAGGCAGCAGAACGGTCTAGACCGCTGCGCCTGTCCCTCCTGTTACCCGTGGCTCAGAAATCTCTCTTCATCAGTACTTTGGAGTTTGTTTTGAGTAGTGTGGGTGAAGGACATAAAGTCTCTGGCGCTTACAGGAGCCTTTTTAAGGCTTCACCTAGAATCAAAAGAAACTGTCGAAGAAAATGAGTCTGGAGAAGCTGAATTTGGCTAATTTTCAGAGAGTTGTTCTGTGTTGCACAGGTAAATGATATGAGCTGTATTGTCTGCTGAAGTAACTTGTCTTGAATTTCGAAGTGGATTCTGTGTTTGTTCTAGGAATATTGAAAAGAAGTTGCCAGGTGGAAAAATGAATCACCTTTCTCCTTGCGTAGATTTCTCCCCGTTCCTCAGAAAATACATGCTAACACATTCGTAAGGCCAGTGCTCCTTTGTTAGTTTTTATCATCTTTCAACCATATGGTATGTGTTCTTATATATGCCAAAGAAATGGTACCAAGTCCCGGTGTCGTTCAACGTATGCTGTTGGCTGGCGCTCTTTAAACCCAGTAGACCACTTTTGAAAATCAAATGTTTCTCCTTCTATCCACACTTAATGGAGAGCTTTAATGAGGTCTTGCCAAAACCTTTAAAACTGGGAACAATCTAAATTATACATTGTATGGAACCTCTAAGCCAGGGAAATGAATAATTGCTGGAGACAACTTCTGTGACATAGCTTGGTTGTTTTAGTTTAACAGAAGCGTAACAGAAGCTTCGCATTAAGGAGTAAGTCTATACTTAGCTCACTGTAATGCTCTTAGCATGCTTTAACAAGGCTGTTTTATTTTGGTGTCTAAAATTCTTCGTTCAGAGTTTCTTCCAAAATCCCTGTCTTGAGTATAAAGGTTTTTGGCACGTTAAGTCATTTATATGACTGACCGATAAAATTCAGCATAGAATTGCAATTGCAGAGAAATGGTTTTAAAGGAAATAAATCTGATCAGGAAGATTTAGTGTAGGCATGGTAATGCCTTTCCTGCAGTTACTGGGAGCTGGGTTTTGACTACAGACTGCTAGAATCCTGGTGATGTGGCTGTAAATGCTGATTAGTGAGATTGAGTTCTTCCCAGGTGTTGAAATTACATGTACGACTGCAGTGTTAGGAGTTGTTCAAATTCATCATAAAAAAGGGACTTTATAAATAGAAGTGTTTCAGGGAGGTTTGTGCAAATCATGTTCCTTTTAACTAACTCAGTCTGGTGGCTGGACGGTCTTTATTGAAAGTCAGCTTTCTTAAAAAAAATTGCATCGGAGCAGTAGCTAGAGATACTTCAGTTAAAATACAATTTTCTGCAAACATGGGTTCTTTGTTTTCTTTCTTTTAAACAGCCATTAAGAAGTAGCTCTCAAAACCATTGACTGAATGTGTTCTGAAGCTCCTTGATTCATTCAATATATCAATGGCTGTTACACATTTGTTTAATATGTAGAAAAAAAAATCATTCTAGCAGAGCATACTTGAGGAACCTTTTGCATTGCTTGAGTGGTTGCTGTCTTGAAAATAAAATTAGAGGCAGCTTAATTTTGGCCCTACAGTTGTCTATTTATGTTTTTGCTATTACACTTTTTTCCCCAAATTATTTGTTTGCTCTCTTCAGTTTTATCAGTAGTTTAAAAAAATGCTTTAATCTCCAGAACTGTGGGAAACTTACCTTGCTTTCTTCTGAACCTGTGATCTCAGAGCGACAGAAATACAGGAATTGTAGGAGTGAATTGTAGGCTTGTTGTTCATCAAGTAGGATATATCAATTTCTTGAGTTATTTTTCCTGTTCAGAAGTTTGAAGGTATTGCTATTTTAGACCGACTGGAGTTCGGAGCCAGCTTCTTCAGATAGTACCATACAAAAATTCCAATAGATTATAGTTTCATAGTCTAATCCTGCAAATGGTCAGATGCATGTAGCTATATTCATGTTAACAGTTCTCTTAAATATGAAACAGGACATGTGGAAATAGCAGTTGTTAGAAAACAAGGGGAAAGATTGCCGGAATGGCAATCGGATGCCTTGGCTTGATAGTGTAAGAGTTTTAAAGATAAAACTTACAAAAACATCCTGTGAGACGTCAAGTGATACTGAGAATGACTGGGCAAAAGAGCAGGACTGAAAAAGAAAGAGAGGGATCAAAACAGAGAAATGAGGGAGTTGAAAGAGCAGCATAATGAGTGGGGAAACTAAACCTAAACCTAAAATACCAAGAGAGAACTAGGAACAGTCAGTTGATGCATGGGCCTCAAATACAGGGAGTATGTATAAGGGTAGCTTAGAAATATTGACTCTTGAGGCTTTACCAAGTCATGCTTAGAAGAGCTGAAAATTCTTTTTTCATTTCTTTTTATACTCTTCAGATTTAGGGCAATGGCTGACACACCTAGCTGTCCATAGGCAGTGTCTTGAAAGGCTGCCCATTAGCTGCTATGATTATAACTCTCTTAGAAGAAACGTCGTAGGTAGGCTTTTCCTGTGCTGGGTCAATGTTTCTGTATTTGTGAGATATTTTTAGGGTAAAAATATGAATCTATCTGCAGTATTTGCTCGTTTTCAGGTATCATAGGTAGGGAAGGAGGAAATTGCATTATTTTTCGGTTAGTGGTGAAGCAGATAGAATTTAATTGTGAAGTTATAGACCATAGTAGGTTAAAGTGAACGATCACTTTTGATCTGGTTTATTTGGGAGTGGAGTACGTGTGTATGTGTTTGATTTTAATCTCTAGCTTTCACCTCTGTTGTTCCCAAAGTCTATGTACTAGCTAACAACACAAGTCAGGCAGCATTTGAGGTTCTGTTCTGTTAGGTATCCATGGTATAGCTCTGTATAGGGACGGGGACTATATCATAATTATTTCTCAGCTGTGCCTTTTGTCTAATTATATGCAAGTTTAAAACTGTTGTTTTGGCAACTTTCTATAAATATTGTCAAAGTACTCTGCATTTTGCTCTTCCCACCAGCCAGGATACCAGAACTAGCGTAGATGTTTTCACTTAATGCCTTGTTTGGTGTTCGTGTGCTGTTCTGGAAGTGTGTATGCACACAAACTGTGTGTATTTCCTACTGTTAAAGATAAAGGAACCCTGCTGACGTTTTTTGCTTTCTCTCTAATGAAGCATGAAGTTTGGGTACCAACAACAATAAAAGTAAAGATTGTTGCAGATAACGAGTAAGTCTAGGGTTTCTTTTCAATCACCACTTACACTTCTCCCCATAGGCACTGACTTCTGACTGGTATTTACTCCTTTTCTAGGCAAATCTTGCTCAACTCCTGAGTGAGGCTCAAGATCGAAATAAACATCTTGGAGAAGAGATTAGAGAGCTTCAGCAGAGACTGGGAGAAGTACAAGGGGACAATAAGGTATTATAAACTTTTGTTATCAGTAAATGGCATGGAATATATAAACTGGGCTGGAGTTTTGCATTTACTTCTTAGGAAGACAAATAAAACAATGGGTTACAGAACTTCTAGAACACTTTGATTACAATAAATGCTCAAAATGGCAGAATAGAACGCTTGTACAGGATACCAGTAAGTGCAGTTTATTATGTATTGTTGTATGCTGCTTTTGCTCTGTTGTCCTTAACTATGTATTTTGCACCTAACCTTGCTTTAATGACCTCAGACTTATTTTCTTTCTTTTTTTAAAATATATTTTATTAGTGGTATTCCATCTTACAGGTAACTACAGAGAAGCATGTCTTCTTCATCATTTGATAACTTTTTTTTGCAATGAAAATGCAAAATTTTAGTAGGTGATAAAACCAGGGGAGGCATAATTTTTGCTTAAAAAATATGGAGCAGTTGATCACAAATACATATAGTGAGCTTTGTATTAAGCCCTTATCCTATTACCCTTACATAACCAATTTATTTTATTGCTAAATTTAGCAAGTTATATGGAACATTGCTCAAAATCTGCCATTTGGTATTAATCAAACTCCTGTTGTCTCTGTTAATTGAAATATTTAAATTGAAGCCAAATGTGTGTAACATTCACAGCTGGAGCTGTATGCAAAAGTACATTCAGAGATCAAACTAGTGAGAGGTTGAATTTGAGAGTCGAGGTGGTTAACGAAGTAAAAAATGAAACAAATAGTGAATAATAGCTTCCTTCTCTCGACTAGAGTTCTGAAGTTATGGGATTTAAAAATGTGAATAAAAATGATGCGCCTTTTAATTATGCAGGTGTTTTTTTCTTTCCATTTAAGTTAATTTTATTTTATTTATTTTATTTTAAGCATAAGTATATTGTGATAATGCAGTTTTATTCATTGTTTGTCACAAAGGACTTCCTTGAAGGTGTGCAGGGAGCTGGGAGAGGGTCAAGTGAGACCTGAATCTGTAGTATGCATAGCATTCAGTGTAACTTGCTCACATCTTCAAAGACTAGCTTTCCCAGTGTTTCTTTTCATTTGCATGTTATTGTTTGAACTGTGTTACAGTGTAGAAGACAGTGCCTTGCAGTTCTCCGGTACCAATATTATGCTATACGGCCTTTCTTAAGCCAGTCTTGAACAGATAACAAGGGTTTGTAAATACGAACAGAACACAAAGGTAGTACAACTACAACATATTTAAGTATCAAGGTTATGTACCTATTCTAATTCCTTATAACAATATGTTCTTGGTAACACAAGAGCCTACTTTGTGCTTGAACTGACTTTGTTTAGATTTGCCTTTGTGGGTTAACTTGTTATTAGCTGGTCTTCTTTGTGATATCTGTATTTTCGGCATGAATTTAAATTCATGATCCTCGTAATGAATGGAAAAATACAAAAGGAGTTATTCTGCCCACCGTGTCCCTCTCCAAAAGTTGCAAAATAGTGCATCACTAAATAAAGAGGTGGAGGAAATAACTGCATCAGACAGGGATTAATTTAGACTAGGATTTTCATTTTTGGAACACATTTTTCACTTTCCTAGTAAATGAGAAATAGAGCTTATTTTAGAGTCAGGTTGCTGTTTTTTGAAGTGCCTAAAAAAGCATTGCCATCTCTCTGAGGGATTTAACACTCTCCTCCTCTGTCAGATTTTGCTCCCTCCTAGCTGCGGTGATAAAATTCTAGGCTTGTTCGCGAAGCCGTTCTGTTCTGCTCATCAGTTCTCCTGTACTGGCAGCAGGGCTACTTCAGACACCAGAGTCCAGATAATGCATGGTATATACAAAAACAAAGAACCATCATAATTTGCTTGTTCTTACATTTTTCCCCTGCATTCTTCTCTCTGCTTTTTCCAAAGCAAGGGAGGGCATCCTACCCAGCTGGTCTACGTCAGCCTTACTTCTGGCAGGAGATGAACAAACAGCTGCTTTTGCAGCAAGTGAAGCTGCTTAGGGATGAACAATTCTGCCTCTGTCTGAGCAGGGGTGACTCATGCAGGCTTTGTCACTGAGCAGCAAGAGCTTTGTAGGGCTGAAAAAGAAAAAAACTCTTTAAAAATCACACATTAGCTCTACTGATAAAGAATTGTTTTGATAGCTTGACTTGTTTTCCACCGCTTCAATGTTTGCTACTAGTAGGATACACTCACTTGGATTAGCGAGAAGACCTTAAACTGGTGACATTTTACTTGTTAAAATCGCGTTAAGTACGTCATCAGTTAGGCAATAACAAATTGCTTGCGTTTGGTTTAACCGGACTAATGTTTTCCTTTAATTTCAGCTAGAATTCTGTTGGCAGAAATAATAAAACTTCTTCAGGCAGTCGCTGGAAGGATTTGTTGCTGCAGTTTGAGAAAAGCAGCAATAGTTTGACTGCAGCGCCCCAGCAACAGATATCTAAGACTATTTTTATGATTGATCACGATATCTTGTCAGGTCTGACACATGAAAACTATTCTGTGTTTATGATAGCCATTTGTAAATCTTTTTCCTTCCTAACGTTCTGGCAGCAATGCTTGAAGAACAATTACTGAAACTTAGAAGAGGATAGTTAGGAAATCTAATTCTCCCTTGTAAAAGCATGAAAATGGAAAGCACAGGAGAAACTGGAGGGTTCTGGAAGACTAGATGACTCAGTTGCCTTCACCTGAATTCCTACCCATGCAAAAGAAACGGTTTTGTAAGCCGTCGAGGGCAGTGCTAGGCGGGAGGAAGATGCATGGAAAACAATGGCTGCAGTATTACTGACAGTTTGTTATTGTAAGGCAGGCAATCATTCACGCAGCAGCAGCGCGAAATGTTAAATGTGGTGCATACGTTTTGGCAGAACTGGGACTTAAGGTAGCAAATTTGCATAGTTCTGGTCCACTTTTTAAGATTTTCTAGGCAACGTGGTGAAGACAATTGCTGTCAGTGACTGTGGATAAACGTGATGGTTTCTGGTTTCCGTGAAGAACTTACCGGTCGTGTTTGTTTCCCTTTTCCTTCTGCATGTTTTATCAATAATCAGGAATGTACAACTATGGCGCAGGCACTGTCTGTGCAGTCCTAGCCTGCACAGCAGCTATCGCAGTAGAAGACTGTTTGGGGCATTGTGGGGCTGCTACAGAGTTGCTACTTTATAAATCATTATTTTAGCTGACATTGATTAAGAAAAAGCTGTGATATTAAAATAATAAAGACTAGTGGCTTGCAGCACTGGATTGTTTTGATTAACAGTCTATGGGTTCTTGACAAACAGGAGCTATCTCTGGTAAGGTGCCATTAATTTAAATCCACTCTGCTGTGGATAATGTTCACAGAATCCTGAGGGGTAGCATTAACCTATTCTCTAGCTGCAAAATGAAGTTGAGCAGTCCTTTTCTCAGTGGTTTCTCAATGACAGAAATCAAAATACAACAGCCAGAGGGCAGGTGTATAAAGTTTGTAACAAAGCACTAATATGTGAAATAAACCCTTAACCCTCTGGCATAACACTTAGTGTCTCTTTGGGTCACAGCATTTTCAGGGAAGAATTTTATAGCAGGTGGTGCTGCCTCGTGAGACATTCGCAATGCAGAATTAAAGGACTTGGCCTGTTCTGCCCTGTCAACTCTCTGATTGGCCAACTGTCTGGAAGAAGCACTCTGTCGTTTTATGGATTGGTATTTTGCTTCATTTTATGTGGGTTTATAATGCTGCTTTTGCTGGCTGAATTTGGATTTCTGAAGCATTCTTTTCGTAAGACTTCCTGCATTTTTTTTTGCCTCAAAATTAGTAGTAAATAAAGAGTTCTCCATTTATTGGCAGACTGTTTGACCTTGCAAGTAATAATTGCTTGCAGATATAATTGCATCTTACGCCTCACCAGTTGGTCACAGTGCGTGAGTCACAGCTCTGATCCAGTTCCCAGCCTGGTGCCGAGCGTTACACAGAACTTTTGCTCTGCTGCAGGCATTGGAGACATTGGTAAAGTGTGATTCCCCTTCCCATTTCCAGTGTTTCTGAATGAGATTGAGTCCTCAAAATGTTACTACATTTGTTTTTTTCTTCCTTTCTCACTAACGAGAGATTCTAGAAATTAAATTAATCTAACTGAATTAAGTCACGTTACCATACCTTTTGTGCATCAGCCCTTTATCATTAAAAAAAAAAAAAAAACAGTCCCATAGCCATGAAGCCATTCCAGGATTTGCTAGCTGCCTTTTTGACTTACTTGTTTTGATAAAGAAATTAATAGGAATTATATCTCTTGGGATCCATTCAGCCTCACTAACAGTGCAGTGGTTTGTGCCTTCCCTGTGGGGACGAGGAAAGGTAGTTTGCCAAAGCCGGTTACTTTTGGGGGCACAGCTTCCCCTGAACAGGTGAACTGCTTCTCAGAACGAGTTGTACTAGGTTCAGTGCGTTGCACTGAACGGGAGCTGAAAGAAGTGGGGAGGATGATTTTGGTAGTCTGTCTTGCATCAGCAGGATTTTAATTGGCACATCGCAGCTATGGTGACTGGCATCCCATAAATACCAAAGATAAAATTTAATGTACAATCTTCTACTTCAGAAGATTGATTCCCCCCCAAAAACTCTGCAATATAATGATGTACATTAATTCCTTGGTGCAGTCAAAGATATGGGGAAAGTCAGGCTGGGAGCTCCTGCAAATGAGGCCGTGGGGAGGCAATCCTTTTGCCTAGTTGTACTCGGTATAAACAACTGTAAATGCTCAATGCCTTACAGACTGTTATTTTAATACTCCGTGATTCTTGCAAGGTAGTTGCTTTTTGCTTTAGCTGTTGAATATAACTGTGTATTAATTCAAGTCAGACTGTTTTCAGCAGTCACAAAGCTCGTGAGTTCATTACCTGTTTGAGCATTTTGGCCAAGTCTTTTTGTTGTTGGCCCATTTTTTTGTTTTTAACATGAATTAATTTTCATGAGTAGATGAAAAAAACAATGCGCAAGCAAATGTATTAGCAGCTGTTAATGCAAGTTCTGCACTGATGTAGCGCCGTGGGATTTTAAGTGGTATCTGTAAAATGAAGCTGGGCAAGCCACGTCACGCCTTTTTATTCTTAACTAGGACGAGTTCTCTGCTGCAGGGAATTTTAAGATTTACATATGAAAATGGCTTTCTGAGAATTCTCTGGTTTTAGTCTGACTGGAATGAGTTCCTGTCACCCCTAAAAACCGTTGACCACGTGTCTGTGTTTACTTGGTCGTTCATGATTTGTGTGCTCTGGTGACTACTGTTGCAGGATCTAACTCAGCTCCTGTTGACGTTTGGAGTGTTCCGCTGGAATTTTTCACTGAGAACAGGATTGAGCTCTCAGCTCAGAAAATTCCCTCTGGTTTAAACACCAGCTGTTTTGACACAGATTTCACCTCTTCCAGGCCACTTTACTCTTGCTAATGCAGATACACTCTCATGCTACAGCCTGCGTTCTCTTGCTTGCTGAATCTGTTTTTGTAATCGCAGCTCCTTCGAATGACGATAGCAAAGCAAAGACTTGGAGATGATGAAGTTGGGGCTCGCCACTTCGCAGCACATGAACGGGAGGACCTTGTTCAACAACTGGAGAAGGCTCGAGAACAAGTAACAACTAAATGGGCATATACTGTCATGTTTTACAGAGCTGATGCAGTAGCAAGTAAATGGCTGCTTCTATTGTGTTTGCAGGGCTGGTAGCTGATTAACATCACAAATAGTGGTGAAGGTGTTGGGATTTTTACTGAAATAAGTTTTTACTGAGCAGTAACTTAAACATGCGTACGTGGTTAGCGTGGGTTTCCTAATCTCAAGAATTCCTTCTCTACATTATGGATTCTCCCCTTTTTGTAATGTGCAGCAACAACTTGTGACAGTTGAATATTGTCAATGAATGTCAAAGAAAGAGACTCCTTAGTGAAAACTGTTACAGGAGTTGAACACAATATGTAGTGGCTGATGCATCTCCTAAAGATACTCTCTGAATCAAATTTTCTGTAGAAGTGTTGTTAGTCTCCTCTTCGTCCTGCCTCTTAGCTATTTCTTCTCTTTTGAAAAATTCTTGCATCAGACCTCTTTTCCCTGCCTTAAGTCTGTATAATACTTAGTACCATGCAGCACCCAATTCATCAGACTCTTTCGCTAATACCAATACATAGCTTTCTGGATAATTTTGGGGGGTTGTGTTCTCTGTTGTTCCTGCACTCGTTCCTATCAATGTCAGTTCCACCCTGAACTGAGCCATTCTGTGATCCAGGAGGAGGTGTGTATTTCTTGTTTTTCAGTCTTCACTCAAGTGAAGCGCTCCTTTAGCTTACCAGAAGGACTGTTGACTGCACTTGGTCTTCTTCCAGTGTGATTCTCTCTGGTATCTCTGTTCCCAAGCTCATGCTCTCTCTGTTCGTCACCTGACCTCTTCTCTCGTGGTCTTCTGTTGTCCTTCCTGGTTTATCAGTGTTTTCTGAGGTGCTAGTGGAGACTTCTTAACTCATTGCAGACTTTTCTCACAGTCTCCGTTTGCTCTCCTTGGAAGTTTGAAGCAATTCGTCCTTGAGTATCTTTCATAACAGACTCCTTGACCCTTTTGCTTATAATAGCAAAGCTCACCCTATCAACTCCATGCTGGCTTGTTTTGTACTTTCTCGGTTCTTCCTGTTCTGTGGAACTTCGTTGCTGAAAGTCTCATAATTAGTATAAATTCCCCCTTGCAGATTTTTTCTTCATCATCCAAATTTGCCAAATTCTTACTTAGTTGAGTTCATTCCTGGAGTCCTAGAAATTACATGCTAAAACCAGCTTAATATGTGTGTAGCAGAATTACAGTATGGATTAAGGTTTCTTTTGCTCTTACATTTCAGTTGTTTTCTAGAAATTTTGTAAAACAGGTCTAACTGCTAAAGTTACTTGAACTTCAAATTAGTGAAATAATACCAAAATAGAGTAAAAGTACCGGGGATTATGAGCTTTGGAAAGACTTTTGACTGTCCCAAATCAATCCTGTTCAGACATGCAGTGCTTGTTGCTGTTTTCAGTCTGGGCACTATGTCACCTTTTGTTTAAACTTCAGAATAGTCATACAGCTCTCATTTCTTCTCAGATCGAGACTCTGAGATATGATCTTGAGGCTGCACTGGATGAGTTGCAGGATGTGAAAGAGGAACGCTCTTTTTACCAAGATAAATCTGACCGACTAAACCAAGAACTTAATCATGTCTTAGGAGGGCATGAAAACCGTATCATCGATGTAGATGCTCTATGTATGGAGAACAGGTGAGCACATTGCAAACCTTACTGTTTCCCTAGAACAAGCAGTGTATTGCTTTAACAGGAGCATCAGGAAGTCAGTCACAACAAAACTTTAAAGAAAATATATCCAAGAATACAAGTTAAGGGATATTGGTAGTTTGTTTTGTTTGTACTGTAGCTAACCATCAAATACTATTCAGAAAGTTAGGATGCAGGAAATTACCAATGTTTTATTTGGCTACAGAGATGTCAGTGATATTCCCAAATAGAGCTAAACAAGCAAAAGGAAGAGAAGTGTAGACCTCTTTATTCCCATCACTGAATGGCACGAAAAGCAAGAATATTAAAACCCGGTGTCTTCAAAACTCATAGTGGGCTGTAGTGGAGCAATCTTGGATTGGAAACAAGGACTTTATGTACCCTGAGTTAACAGTTTTGGACATAATTCTCACCACAGGGAGAGGCTGTCAACATGGAGTGATTTGCCAACAGAAGTTGCTGGTGAAGTCACCCATGTAGATATTCTTGCCACTTCCTTGGGAAAAGAATGTGTTTTGTGGTCTCTGCTAAGGATGGCAGAGAGGGGTCACTGCCAGAGCCACAGCAGTACCTCCCTTAATGTCAACAATTACCTAGAAGTGAAATAGATCCTGGAAGACACTTTCCATTAACAGAGACTTATGCTTCAGGTAAGAAAGCGTAATAGCGAAGGCATTACTTCCTCCCAGCAACTCCAGGGTTTTTTTCTGTTTTGCATGACCTACAGAGTTCTGTATCAATTTAAGCCCCCTGCTGCCCTGACAGTGATAAATTTTTTTTTTTCTCTAAAATAATTAAATTGTCACAAACCCTAATACAGCTGCAGATGCACTACATGAAAGAGGATATTTTATAAACCCTTTATACATGAAAAAGATATTTTCCTATGTGGAAATAGTCATCTAATCCAAGTGCATAAAGTCTGTTAGGAAGAACTGTACTGTTTGGTTAACTGCATACCATTTTTCAACTATACTGTTAAATTTTCTACTTTGTGATTGCTAATGAGAAGTGCCATGTGAGTGGTGGATATTGCATGCAAAAGTTCTGCATAGTTGAGTCCTGTATTGACATATATACAAATCTTCATGTGTCCATCTCGCAAGCCTTCAAGTACAGAGGACATGAGTAAATGCTTCCTGACTATTTCCTCTAGACATAAATACATCCTTTTAGCTTCCCTCCCCAAAAACCTGAGGACTGATATAAAATGGTTGGGCAGCATGCTTGACAAATCTAACAGAAGGGCAGCCTCCTTTTCTGATGCAATTTGTTTCCCTACTTAAAGTTTTATGGGGTCAAAAGCAGTAAGATTTTGTTATTTTATCCCTCACAGAACTGCAGAGGGAAAAGAACTCTCAGTAGTTCAAAGAGAGGACATGCCAAATAGTAAAGAGGAGTGCTTGAGGCAGTACTTGAAGGTAACACGAAGTAAAAGATTGCATTTCTGTTTCAGGTATCTTCAAGAGAGATTAAAACAGCTTCAAGAGGAAGTCAACCTTCTTAAGTCTAATATTACTAAATATAAGGTAAGATCCTCTCAGTGTATCATCTAAACTGTGCTTCATTGTTCATGGAGTTATTGTTCATTCTTATGTCCCTATGCATTTAAAGAACAAAATTGTGTCTTCAAGGAAAAATCCACCATTAACATTCTGACAATATTAGTATGTATACATATTACATGCTCAGTCTTCCTCGTAGGCTTCTTAGCTGATGTAGTACAAAGGGCTACCCATTGAGAGCATCTGAAAAATGAATTAAATAGCTTTTTTGAAGTTCTGGGGGGGAGCCCTCCTTCTGCTGTGGGGGGTGGTCAGCCTTCCAGTCTGCTGGTGGGTGAGAAGTAGCAGGTCACACAGTGCATGGTGAATGATTGCGGCTGTGTTGCCGTCACAAGCAGGTCTTGTCTCCCCGTTCCCTAACAGCCACGCTATTTCTTCAGGTGTCTTAATGATTGCTAAGTCTTTGTTGTTCTTCTTTTCCTGGGTTAAGATACATTGTTTTGCATGAAGCGGTCAGGACTGAATCCTGAGGGCAAAATATTCTTGCTCTTCCCTGAAGTCAAGCATTCTGTTTTCTTCTGCAAGTGATTTTGGGATGTGGGAGGGGATGGCTGCTCTAGTTTTTGCTACTAAAAGGACTTCTAGAAGCTCTGATAGAGGAGTTTGAGCTTTTCTTTCGAAGCCTATCCAAAGAAATGTTGGGAAAATTCTGGTTTCGTTCGCAGCTGGTAATTCTCTGCAGAGTACTGCAGTATCTTCACTGACACTCAGCAGATTATTAAAGAATGGGCAAGTCTTAAAAATACATTGGGGGGAGTTGGTGGGAGAGACTACAGTGAAGTGATTGCAGTGAGGCAGAATGAGTCTTTGTAACATTGCAAAGACTGTTTTGGCTGGAGAACAATACTGCAGGAGAGTCACACTCCCACAGGTTACTTTGGGTGTAAGCTTCAGGCCCTTCAGAGTTGTTTTGAGACCAAAATCCAGTGTTGCAGATTCTTTACACGTAATGAAAGTATTTGTTGGCTACTTTTTTCTAAATATTTGTTGTTTCCTTAGAATGCACTAGAGAGACGAAAAAATTCAAAGGCTCATGGCAGATCCAGTAGCAGTGCTCTGACTGGAGTCCTGTCTGCAAAGCAAGGTATTGCATGAATGCAGCATGGTGTTGCATATATCATTGAATTCCTTGCGTCTTACGTCTTCATTTCAGTAATCCTTTCCTCACCAACCAAACCAAAATCTTCCTTCTCTTTCCGGTTTATTATTATGTGCTAATATTTGTCCTTTTCTCAGGACAATATAAAGTTTGCCTCTTGAGTACTGCTTCTCCTTTTGTTACTCTTTTGCCATTCATTCTCTCCCCTGCCTGTTTTATCTTTTTTTTTTTTTTTTTAATTTTTAAACCCCTCTGCAGCTTTCACCCTGGCAAATCACTTCTTTATTCATCTCTTTGCTCTGCTAACAATGGCAATCACAATTCCTATTCCAATGAAAAACAGACGGGGTGGTAGAGGAGGGGCTGTAAGCCAGGTTTCTGCTACTGTTCTTGGAAGCTTTTACATTCAGATGTCTTGCATTAAATCCTTTTGTCCCATGTTTCTTCATGGGTAGCAAAATGGAATAATCTCTTTTTTCTACCTTCAAAGAAAATATCAAGATTAGGAAAGAAAGGGGAAGAGAAAATTCTTTGAGCCAAACAATATACCTGGCACCGTATTGTTCAGGTGTTGGTGTATTCATAGACACACACAAAATCAGTAGTGTTTGTCATGGTAGGTTGTAACTCACTTTTCTATTTTTGACTTCTCTTCTGTCCTCTTCTCCATGTACTCGCATTCGTGTACATGCATACAGAGAGGCAGAGCCAGATCCTGGTTACAGAAGTTAATGATACCAGCCAACTTCCTGATGTGGTTGAGAGGTACAGGCTCTGAGCTGCAGAGGAAGAGTTCATGGGTGACTGTATTTTCACATCAGTCTTAAATAACCTGAAGGATATAATAATTCTAAAAAGTAATATAAAAGCTTCATTGTGGGCTTATGTTTTAGTGTAAGTGAGAGAGAAATGACCAGTTTTTACCAGTCTGTTGGCCTGTAGAAGAGTGGATTTGTTTCTGTTTCCTTCTGAACAAAAATAATTTTCCAAAAGCAGAATGAGGTTAACAGAAGATGTGTCTGCCTATACTTGTTCTGGCAATTGCTGCGGAATAACAATCAGCTTTGAAAGTCACCAGCTTTATGTCAGCTAGAGATTATATTTCTGGTCTTTTGGCCTTGTTTGTTAATTGAAGGAAAAAAATACTTACCCACTTAAGTAACGAGAATAGTTCTTTAATGCTAAGTAAATGTTTGTGTAGCATCTGTGTGTGTGAGAAGCCAAAACTCATTTGTGTTTTTAACATTATAGTCCAAGAGTTGTTGTCGGAGGATCATGGATGTAGCCTACCAGCCACACCACAGTCCATTTCAGATCTCAAATCACTGGCCACTGCATTGCTGGAAACTGTCCATGAAAAAAACATGGTCATACAACACCAAAGGCAAACCAACAAGTAGGTAGCATGACATTTAAGTAAAATAGAACTTACCAAGTTATGGAAAACTCATAGTTCTGGGGGAGTTTCAGGGAAGTGGGAAGGAAGGTCCATTTTCACAGAGAATTCGTTGTCATTGTTAACTGTTGGGTTCTTTACTTTTTAAGATCAGGTATGTGTTTAGAGAAAAACTACACTTTCAAAGTAAAGTCTGGGGTTGACAGAGACCTATCTGCCTCTGCTAGGTAAGAATAGGTTTGCTGCTCAGGTTTCAGACAGACCCTAATAACACAGGGGGGACTTTTAGCAGGTAGTCTGTAGGGAGGGCTAAAGAAAAGCTGCCTGGAGGAAGGACACCCTTGAACTGAAGAAGAAGATACGTGGTAATTGACGGTTAATTTAGGAATTTGCTAATGAATGCTGATGGGAATAGTAAATGTTGCACCTAGGAAAGGTTCTGAAAAGATTTAGTGTAACATTTGTCACAGGCTAGCGACCTAGATATAACACAAATGATGGCTGTTGCTGCTGTAGTTACTTCGCCAAAAGTTGTAGGAGATAAACACAGTTGGATTGCTACTATATGATTTTTAAAAAATCTGAACTGAACTTTCAAAGAGAATTTGTTTACTCTTAGCTGTTCTACTCATCAGTAGAATTCTTTGTGTCTTGCACGGCTCCTAGCATGGCAGAATATAATCATTTTTGACACATTTTCTGACATTCTGATATTATTGTCCTTACACAGTGTATGAAAATCAGAACTAGGAAGTGTTCCTTGATTCTGTGCTCAGTGTTTTTTTTTTTTTTTTTTTTTAAAAAAGGGCGCCCTACTGGCATCTTTAAAAAGCTTGAATCTGTTAAAAATGGAAATGCTTTGGTTCAAAGAGAATACGAAAGAGTAGTACTGAAGTAAACTGTATTGCACTGGAATAGATGATTCATTTTGAAAATTGATAACTCTGATACTAGGCAGACACCATTGCATAATTCTTAGTGATGTGGCAACAGAAGTGGAGGAGCAGTTTATAGCCACTCTTAATACTCTCGAGAAAGCAAATGCGTAATCAGCTAAAGGGAATCTAAAGCAATGAGAATGTAGCCCAGATCTAACTGATGGCAGCTCAGTCAATTCATGTCTGTAAGTGTGTCATGTAATGCAAGGAGAGTTCCTGCAATGAGCAGCGCTAATGAAGGGCTAACACCTGCTTACTCTCTTCTTACTGCTAATGTAACATCAGAAGGAAAACATCCAAAGAACAACTTTTTATTATTCGAGGCGTAACCAATCTTTGCCTTTTAATCCTGATACTGTATCATTACCTGGTGTCCTAGTTTGCATACTCTTGCCTGTAATTATATCAAACTTCTTTCTTAATTTTGTATCTCTCTGATCACTTGCAGTCTCTTGCATCTTTCAAATGTTATCATGGCAATGATGGCTTTAATTTCTAATCACACAGTCTCTGCTTTCAACTATTGTGTATGGGTTTTCTTGATAGAAGCCTTCACAAGGAGATAGGATTCTTTTATCTGCATGCCTAGCTGGTCATGTATAGCCACAGGAGTAGAGACTGGATGTATGTACAAACTGTATTCTGTGCCCAGTATATGATCAGGTCTTAGAGGGAGGTGACAGTCCACATCCTCCCAAGTCAGGAGTATGCTCACAGCTGTAATGTTGTATTCAGTTCGGGATGTCTCATGGATAAAAAGGAAAGATAAATCCTGGGTAGGTTGAGTGATAAGCCTCAGCAACACCCCTATGTGGTATGCTCGTTCTTTTTGTCACCTTTGGCTGTAGTTGGATTAAAGTCTCTTCTAAGGAGCTAGGAAGAATGGGAACTACTTCAAGCAGAAACACCTAGGACACAAAAGAGTTAAAATGAAAAAGGGTAATGTGGGTAGGACATAGGGAAAACCATCCTTTATTTGAGGTGCATTAGCTGGTTGTTGGGGGCATTTATGTGCAATGTAAAAAGTTACAAGTAAAGACTGCTGACTTCTGAAAATGGGGAGTAACCTGCCCACCTGTTGGGGAAGGTTAGAGGTGAGAGTGAGGTCAGTGCGTAAGTAAGATAGGCAGGTCCATAAACTGGTACTAGTAGAAGATGCATTCTTTTGTTGAAGACATTTCTCCAATCAAAGTAGGAAGAGATGGGAAGGATGTGCGGCTAGAGAGAATTGTAATGACAAGAGGTTTTGCATAAATCAAAGGGTAGAAGTCTTCACCTTCACTCCTCTGTCCTGTTTGCCTGGCTTTCCCTGCACAAAGAGCATGTTTGGAGGGCACAGTTATTCTTTGAGATTCTTGTGTGGAGAAAGTGAGATTTATTGGGTGAAGAACGTGAGGTTTTGGGGTGGTTGTTTCATTCAGGGAAGAAGTTCTGCTTTTGATATATCACAGATGATTGACCTATTAGTGATTCCATTATCAGGAAATGAAGACTTTTCAGACTGCATGAACTTATTTTCCTCCAGACAGTTAACCTGCTCTAAAGTCAAAACCTCTTTGGTTGCTTGCAGATTGAGATATGGCTATATAAGTTTACAATAGCAGAGTGGTAGATTTGCTTTCTGATTAACTGAAGCAATAACAAGACAGAGGATTTTTTTACATAGATTAGAATTTGGATGTGCTATCGAAGTTGACTTTCTGCTGTTACACTGTTGTTAAAAACATCCATTGCCACTTGCTCTTGGAACAGACAGACTATTATTACTGCCGCTTTTCTAAATATGTGGCATGATAAAAGGAGCTGTGGGACTATGTGCCTAGGAACAAGCAGGCTAAATCCAGCCTATATTTTTTTAGCCCCACTTTTAAGAAAAAAAGAGGTTGTTTGGGAAGAAAACGGGTCATTTTCCCCCAGTGATTGGTAGCTACTACTGCTAATATTAAGTACGATCCTATGTTTTTCCTCACAAGCACATTAGCTTAATTTGAAAAGGCAGTTGTAAATGAATTCTGTGTGCAGTAATGTGTTGGAAGATTAAATAGTTACATAAATGCAAAAATAAACCGTCCTAACCTTGCCTGGCAAGGGGATAAAAATGGGTTTTTTTCTTCTGCCAGCAATAAACCGTTTATTAGATGTTCTTTTTGGTGCAATTTGTTCCTGAAATTGCCAGCACCCGTGCAAGCCAGATCAGTGTAGAAGCTGCTCTGCCGCTTAGACATGTTGCACTAATTTTAACATCTCTAACTTGGGCAAGCTCAGTCATGACCAAAATTACAGAAAAAGCTCATGTCAGTCTGTAGCTGGGTAAATGTCTCCATGTGATGTATGGAACTAGGTACGTGACCGTGACAGACCCTGTTTACAGACATTTGGGTGATTGTGTCTGTGTGAGGGTGTATGTCTTCTGTAACCAGATCTAAATTGAACGTGAGGTGAACAGAGCTCAGGTGCTGTAAATCAGCACAGCTCCCTCCAGATTATGGCCATGTATGTTGGGACACATGGGAGCGCCAGGAGGGAGCTTCTAAATTCAGGTGGGAGCCTTGCTGCTGTTACGTGAACAACAGATTTCTGTAAACCCTTATCCTGGGGGGAGGTTTAGACTAACTCTCTTCTTGCATTAAGCACATGACCAGAGGACAACTGAAATAGTTATTGGCACTTTGTCCATGACGTGATCCTTCTGTTTTAGTCAAAGAATCTGGTCCGCGATGGCTAGAGATAAAAAAATAGATTAGGGAATTTGATGCTACCAACCCATGCAACTCCTTTAAAAATACCTGCCACT